AAACCTAACCTAACCTAACCTAACCTAACCTAACCTAACCTAACCTAACCTAACCTAACCTAACCTAACCTAACCTAACCTAACCTAACCTAACCTAACCTAACCTAACCTAACCTAACCTAACCTAACCTAACCTAACCTAACCTAACCTAACCTAACCTAACCTAACCTAACCTAACCTAACCTAACCTAACCTAACCTAACCTAACCTAACCTAACCTAACCTAACCTAACCTAACCTAACCTAACCTAACCTAACCTAACCTAACCTAACCTAACCTAACCTAACCTAACCTAACCTAACCTAACCTAACCTAACCTAACCTAACCTAACCTAACCTAACCTAACCTAACCTAACCTAACCTAACCTAACCTAACCTAACCTAACCTAACCTAACCTAACCTAACCTAACCTAACCTAACCTAACCTAACCTAACCTAACCTAACCTAACCTAACCTAACCTAACCTAACCTAACCTAACCTAACCTAACCTAACCTAACCTAACCTAACCTAACCTAACCTAACCTAACCTAACCTAACCTAACCTAACCTAACCTAACCAAACCTAACCTAACCTAACCTAACCTAACCTAACCTAACCTAACCTAACCTAACCTAACCTAACCTAACCTAACCTAACCTAACCTAACCTAACCTAACCTGGAGGCGGGACTTGACATTGCCACAACTTGTAACCTTACCACCCTTACCACGACCAGACATGATTCTTTGCTTGTTTTAGGTATTTTAATAAACCTTATTTCGGTTTGACGGGCTTTAGCTTTTATATGCCGGCCCCGGATTCCTGAGTCAGATTGCGACGATGGCATGTTCTGTGTATAACCAGATCAGCCAGTATTCGTGGTCCTGTACGCGAGGCTGTCCGCGCGGTGTCGAAGCGACAAACAAAAAAAAAAAAAAAAAACAAAAAAAAAAAAAAAAAAAAAAGAAAAAAAAAAAAAAAAAACATAAAAAAAACAAAAAAAAAGAAAAAAAAAAACAAAAAGAAAAAATATAAAAAGTGAAATCTGACTCGCAACATACCTTGTCCCAACAAGCATCATGCCTCCCAAAACTTCCGGAAAGGCTGCCAAGAAGGCCGGTAAGGCCCAAAAGTCTATCACCAAGGGTGATAAGAAGAAGAAGCGCAGGAGGAAGGAGAGCTACAGCATCTACATCTACAAGGTGCTCAAGCAGGTCCACCCTGATACCGGTATCTCCTCCAAGGCCATGTCTATCATGAACTCTTTCGTGATGACATTTTGAGCGCATTGCAGCTGAGGCTTCCCGCCTTGCACACTACAACAAGCGTTCCACCATCACCAGCCGGGAGATTCAGACCGCTGTCAGGTTGTTGCTCCCTGGAGAACTGGCAAAGCACGCTGTTAGTGAGGGCACCAAGGCCGTCACCAAGTACACTTCCTCCAGTAAATCTCTAGGTTGCATCATTTGTTTGCCTCCTAGAACAACATCGGCTCCTTTAGGAGCCACATATTGTAATAAAGCAGATATACGATGACGTTGGTAACAACCCACTTGGTTGGTAACATGTTCTCTGCCTCTTACTCTTTTTCTTCTTATTATTATTATTATTGTTAATATTACTACCACTACTGTTATTATTACTATTACAATAACTACTACTACTACTAGTATAAGATCATTTATTGTCCTTACACATGGATAGATAGCTCTACAAGTGCTTAATGAATTACCAACAAGTCAGTTAGTCAGTCAGTTATTTATTCATTAACCCTAGTTATCTCGCGTGTTTAGTATTTGCGTTGAATTTAGAAACGTGTGTTGTATGATCTTATTGTGTTTGGTATTAGTATCATCATCATCAAAATACATTTGACGCCATTTACTATTATTATTATTATTATTCAAGGAATGGGCAAAATCAGGATCGGTCACTAGAGCCTAGAAACTACAGAGGACGACATGACGTAACACCTAACTTGTGGAGGAGGAGGAGGTAAGGTAGGTTTGATCATATGTGGTATATTTATTTACTAGTGTATTTCTTTGTTTCTTTAGCAGACAGGACTAGGGAGAAAAGAAAAGTGGACCATGAACTTTATTTGTTTGTCACAAATTAAGTAATAATGATAGAGTAATGAGTTTTGCGTCATTGTCGGGTTTGTTAGGATTTACTTGTCACAAGCAAACACACAACAACTCAATTATTTTATATGTGGTATATGTTTATTGATTCATTTATCTTTCAGCAGATAGACCTGGGAGGAAAGTGGATCATGGCCTCTGTTTATTCTGTCAGTCAAAGTGAGTATCAAAATAATGTTTTGCGTTATTGAGCGTGTTGATTGCAACATACACATGCATACATACATATACATACATATATATAACTCTCTCTGTATATATATATAACTATATAGTTATATAACTATATATATATAAAACTATAGATATATATATATTATTATTATATATATATATATATATAAAACTATAGATATATAAAACTATATATATATATAAAACTATATATATATATAAAACTATATATATATATACTATATATATACTAAAACTATATATATATATATAAAAACTATATATATATATAAAACTATATATATATATAAAACTATATATATATATAAAACTATATATATATATAAATCTATATAATATATAAAACTATATATATATATAAAACTATTATATATATAAAACTATATATATAATATAAAACTATATATATATATATAAAACTATATATAATATAAAACTATATATATATAAAACTATATATATATAAAACATATATATATATATAGATATAAAACTATATATATATATATATAAAACTATATATATATAAACTATATATATATATAAAACTATATATATATATAAAACTATATATATATATAAAACTATATATATATATATAAAAACTATATATATATATAAAACTATATAGATATATATAAAACTATATATATATCTAAAGACTATATATATGTATAACTATATTATATGTATAACTATAGTATGTATCACTATATATATGTATAACTATATATATGTATAAATATATATATGTATAACTGATATATATGTATAACTATATATTGTATAGCTATAGATATGTCTAACTATATATTATGTATAACTATATATAGTATAAAACTATCTATATGTTATAACTATATATATGTGCACTATAATTATTATAACTATATATAGGTATACACTCTATATATGTATAAACTAATATATATGTAGTAAACTATATATATGTATAACTATATATATGTAATAACTATTATATGTATAACTAATATAATCTATATATATATATGTAATATATTATCAAACATATATAACTATATATATATGTAAACTATATATAACTATATATAATATCTAAAATATCTCTATATCTATATATATTACTATGTAATAACTATATATATATATAACTATATATATATATAACTATATATATATATATAACTAGATATATATATATAACTATATATATATAACTATCTAGATCTATATATATATAAATAGTATAACTATATATATAGATATATAACTATATATATATTTATATAACTATATATATATTTAATATAACTATAAGATATGTATATATAACTATATATATATAACTATTATATATATATATATATATATATATATATATAGATATATGCATATATATATATATATATGCATAATATAACTATATATATAGATATAGATATATATATAGAATAGAGCTATAGATATATAGATATATATATATATATATAGTTATATGTATATATAACTTTATATAATATATATATATAATATATATCTATAATATTAAGTTGCACATACATACAGGACATACAAACCTAGATAAATACATACATACAGTACACACATAGATAAAACACATACATGCATACAAACATAGATAAACACACATGCACACAAACCTAGATAAACACACACATGCACACTAACATAGATAAACACACACATGCATACAAACATAGATAAACACACATGCATACAAACATAGATAAACACACACATGCACACAAACATAGATAAACACACATGCACACAAACATAGATAAACACACACATGGTGCACACAAACATAGTACTAACACACATGCATACAACCTATGTAAACTAACGAACTTGAGTTTTTGCTAAGTCTAGCTTCTGCCCGGGCCTTCGGCTATGGCCCGGCTGTGTCAGCTTTTTAGGGCTGCCTCATTTACCTGTGTAACTCGACCTCACCGTGGCGGTGGGATTGCCAAGAGGCGTCCTGCTGCCACGGGTAAGCGAATCGCAAAGCCCTCTTTACCAGCACGAGCGGCTGTTTTCCGGCGGTTCTTGTCTCAGGAATTGTGTGTGAACACAATTCTCTAGTATGTGTCAGTGTGGCGTTCGGCTCGCCGCAATGCATGCAACACCTCGCTTCTCCTCGTCAAGGTTTTCATTATTCTGCCCACGTACATGGTAACGCTAGTCGCATCTGTGGAGAATGACTTCGTGCCCTCTGTTCTTTAATTCAGAGAGGTGCCAGAGGTTCATAAGCCTGTCCGCTTTCTGAATACCATCTGGCCGAGTTGGAGGTTCTCGTTGTCTCTCTGTGAACGGCATTAGGAAGAATGGGCGACACCAGGACACTTCCTCCGAGTAAAGTACGGCTAGGTGGTAAGATCATGGGACTAGGAGGGCATACCCCGTCCAGAGACTGCTATCTGTCACAAGTTCGTTTCTCTGATCCTATATGGCCTTGGGACCCAGTTAAGGACAATTCTTCTGCCCTGAGCCAATATTCTGTGTGCGAGTGTCAAATTTGTGTCAGAGGTAGATGTTGTCTTTGGGTGAGCTTGAGCTTGAGAGAGTCTATGGCTTGCCCTAGAGTCATGTGTATGACTACTGGCCTTCCCATAGGACGCGTGTGCGAGGGCTCCCATGATCCACAGCCTCTGCCTTAGCGAGGAGGGCTTGTCCGTCAACTCTCATGGAGTCGCATGCATCCCTTGTTGCAAAGCCGGCGCCTGCAGTGGGTTGGCTGATCGACCGATCCGTCTGTGTAGTCGGTTCTACTAACGCGGGGGGTTGATGGCTGATATGACCCTGTAGGTCTCTGCCTTTAGACCAGGCGTGGGGTATTCAGCTCTTTTTCTTTCAACGGTAGTTTCATCACCGGAGAACTCTATCGAGTTTTGTCGCCACGGCGGGGCTTCGGACAAAGCCAGGGTGGGTGGAGTCCCATAACCCTTGGTGATAAGGCCTGCTCTTTCGCTCAAACCTTATCATTACTCTGGCTGGTGGGACAGCACGAGCTGTTGGCGAACAGCTCGTTGTCTTGTTCCCAGGCGTCTCCACTAGTTTTTCTCTTAAGCTAGTGTTTCCGGGGGTCTGGATGACCTTTGCAAAAAAGTTTGGCTGCCATTTATCGATTCGTGAGTCCAGGTGGAAAAGTTGGCCTCCATTGGAGGTTGGGAACCTTTTGTCCAACCTCGGGGGCACCCATAATGATTCTGGCGCTTCTTTGACTTGTTTTTCCAATTTGACTCTGTATTTTTGCTTCCTGCCAATTAAGGCGACTGAGGCATAATCCACAAGGGGCCCACCTGACAGCAGTACATAGAAGGATCTGAGTAATTGTGCCTGGCTCCTATGCGTTTCCCGGTACATTGCGCTCATGACGCTCAGTCTGATTTGCAGCGGTCAACCAGGTAACTCGTTCTCCTGTCGGAAGTAGAGAACCGGTCTACCCATACCCCAAGGTATTGGAACACCGGGACCCAGTCCAGTTGGCTTCCCTGGATTCTCAAGGCTTGTGCCTTTGAAATCGTCTTCTCAAGCCATGGCTTTAGATTTGGCTCCTGAATCTTGAGCTCCGTCTGCAACACTCCTCAGAAACACTAGGTCCGACAACGCTGGGCATTGTTAAGAGGCATTGTGTCCCCGCTGGAGGTGCTGGCAAGATCGTCGCAATAAGAGATGATCTGGCATCCCTTGGAGGTTTTAAGTTTAGGATACAGGACATGAGTACGTTGAATAGGGTTGGACTCAGAACCCCACCCTGTGGTGTCACCCCATTTTCTAATGGCAAGTGCGTGATAGGTGACCCTGGAACTTTACCTCTGGCTCTTCTGTTCCTAAGTAGCTCACCTATCCGCCCGGAGCTTTCTCGGATTCCTTCTGGGCCAGGGACTCCTGAATAGCAAGGGGACTTGCCTAGTTTCGAAGGCCTTTTCAGTCAAGGAATATTACCACGGTGAGGTGGTGCTGACTGTGCTCAGAGCGTGGCGATGCTGTGTGCAGTGCTCATTATCCCCTGGCGAACCCGTGCAGGTGTTCGTGTGGGGGTCCCATTTTCCACAGGAGCCGGGTTCAGTACCATCCTCTCGGCCGTTTGGCCAGACAGCTGAGGAGGGAGATGGGGGCGGTAATTCCCCGGTTCCATTGGGTTTTGGGATGGGAACTATGGTAGCCCTCTCCAGCTCTGTGGTAGGTAGG